GGGCGCAATTAAAATCTTAAGGAATCTTGTAATCATGACCAAACTTAGAGGTTTGCTGTTAACATTGAAGTGTGTGTATTGAACATGCGTAATCAAAATTAATATGAAAATAAACTGATGCGTAATCTTTACTATTAAATAGGTATATTTGAACTAACCAAAATTACTTAAAAACTTATTCGATCCTTATTTATCGGGGCTCTAAGCACATGTTCAGTCTGCTCTCGCCCCTGGGTAACATCCATCACTTGAGAACGCTTAAGAGCCTGGAGCTGCAAATATTCCTAAACGGGAGTCTTCACCTTTCCTCGATTCCAATCACTGCCGACGTTCTACGTCGAAGGGTCAAAATAAACAAGTCTCGTAGAAGAATCTGAACACTGTCTTCCCTGGTTTTTCAAGTATCCCGGTGGATAGTCTGGGCAGCGCTCATCCTTCGGTTCGCGGACCAACCTTAGCCCATCCCTCCGGGAACGGGTGCGTCTCGGCGGCTCCTCCCTCGACCGAGGAAAAAGATTACAACGGGTAGATTCGCGGCAACTCTACGCCGGTACCATACTTCCGCGGAGCAATCTTTCATGGCAAGGTTCCTACAAAATGGATTGGAGAGGCTTCTAGCGTAATGGCGAAATCACTTTCCACCGTTAGGACCGGAGTTCTATCCCCGTCAAAACTATGTGCAATTGTGACAAAATAGGCTCTTTGGAGAATTGTCGGGGTTCCCTCATTCCCCTACCACTTATTCCATTTCTCTGTCATCATTATTGTAATCATGTACTCACTACATTACCACTCTTACGTCTAAATGACCTCAACATTTGAAGGGCCTATAAATGAAAAGAAAAAAAGCGAGTACTACACCAGGATAGCGAACGAAGTGGTAGCACCTCTACCGTTTTCTTTAATGAGAATAAGTACGCTCTACACTCTGCCAAGTTGAACGCTGAATACGAAAGTGAAATATTTCTTAAATTGTTCTCTTTATACCTCTTACATTTTTTGTATCCTTTTATTGCAAAATTCGAAACCTCAGTTAATTATAGCACATTCATTGAAGCACAGTTTGCACGAAAATGTTTCTTTTAAATCATTAGCTATCACGATCAGGAAGATATAAATTCAAACGAGTCATCAACTGAACTATCACTGATTTTGACATAAAACTTTTTTGAGGGTCGTTTGGAACACAAAAAGAAAATTTTCCACACAGCCCAAATTTATACTGCACATCCGTGAAAAAAAAGAAATCTTATTTGAAAACCAAGAGAAAAGAAAATGAATCATCAATTCAAGTGACACATCATACCACTCGGATTTCCTCGCTATTTCTACTTAATGCGTCAGTAATATTACTTTTCCTTGCGAGCACGTAAACACGAAGTAATATGCCGTATTTTAATAGAGGAAGTTGTGTAATGCGAAAAAGGATGTCGAGATTTTAAGAAAAATACACGTTTCCATAAATACCGTTTTTGGAAACGTCTGTCTTCCCGTCCGTCCACTAACATCTCTAATGCCTAAATCGTGTATAGGATTTTTCCTAATTAAGTATTCCCAGATCGATCTAGCCAAACTCGAGGTCATATGCATTTGAAATGGAATCTTATTTTTGAAATTACTTCACAAGAAATCCCACAGACATATTCGAAATTTTCTCAAAAACTGCTCAAAATGTTTCTTCCTGTATTTTCTCAAATATAAAAAAGTTAGCTAGCAATATTATTATTATTATTTATTATGCACACTGTATACAAATAGTCTTAAGTAACATCAGCCGGCTTATTGGCCCAGGGGCTTACGGCACAAGCGCTTAATTACGCGTGAACTTATGGGGTGTGTTCGAATACCGCGTAAGGGTTTATGTTTTCAATCGTGATTGTGGCACAGAGATATTCCCTGAATCTCTGCCAATACCCTAATCCGTCCATAATCTCTTGAACTGGGTGGTAACTGTATGTGATATTCCTGTGCTTCGGGATGTGTAATTGAGGTATTGGATTCAACTCGAGAACGATGGTATAAGCACCAAGATGGGGCTCTGGTTTATTAAGTGTTTATACGTCGAGGTTCATGGCCTAGATGGGCCTAAGGGTGTGACTGCGTGATGTCTGGGCAGCTGTCCCCGACAAGAGCGTTGTACAGAGACGCGTTGAGAATGCCGGGTGCCTGGAGCCACCGGCTGTATCCCTCCTCTCGGCCTGGGTGGAGTGTATCTACCGTATCTTGCGTGCTCATTATTCAGCATTGGGGACATTTTTAAAATATATTTATTTAATAAAAAGTGACGAAACAGTCGAGATGGTTGCCAACGAAATCGGTGTAAACCTTCCCGAAATAAACATCCATATTTACCATTCAACGGATATAAGGCAAGTTTTCGTAAAAATTCCCTCGAAAAAAATGCGTTGATAATATTATGCTTTGCACAGGTTCGAGAATGTGTGTGGTGTTAATATCGAGGGTCGATTGTCCGAGTCTCGTCCTCGCCATGGAAATGTGAAGCGAAGTGTTAATTTTGACATAAAAGTTATTTGGCAAAAATTCTGGAGATCTTGCGGGTTCGAAGCTAGTGAAATCTACACCAAATTGTATCCACATGAGGGGTAGGTCCGCAAGCTAGTTAGTTTATTGGAGCTGTCTCAAAGATCTGAGCGCAGAAGAGTTTAAGGTTTTTCGTAAATTTCTGGCGAGCATATGGAGCGAGGAGAGACCCACTCTCTGCCACCTCCCATCTCCCAAAATCGCCCCCTTCTTCCCTGCCCATCACTTTTAACTCTGGGTGTACCAGGCTCTTCTTTAATACAAAGTAATTTTTAAAATTAACACAATTCGTGCACAAGAATTATTAAGATTTACTAGTAGAACTCATCGATTAATGCAATGTTTTTTGAATCACGACGTAAATGTCGCACCCCTTCTAGATGCCACTTACAATTCTAGCGATGATTACCACTCAAATTCAAATAATTCACGTCTGCGATTTTCTTACCTAACTTAAAGCCCCATGCAATGGAAATCGTCGCTACGTCATCACATATCACTGCGCAGTACTTAAACTATGGCGAAAAAATCCACACAAGAAATTCGTACGCCAAGATTCATTTTTCGTCTGATTAGTCCGTAAGTCACGGCATATGTTCGAAATATGGCTACTATTAGAAGTAGTCGATTAAATAGCAAATACGCCACGAAGTTTGTCAGAGACCAGTCGGGTGCATACAGTTCGTCTGCTGGAGCGGTACACCGCTGGCGGGAGATACTAGGAGAGGGAAATTCTCTGCAAGATGACGTCTAGGTCGGCGCCGGATCTCTTCATTCATCGGGGGGAGAAATAACTACCTCCCAGAATAAAGCATACACTATACTTAGGGGACTAATGTACTTATCAGATGACATGCCCGGAAACATCAATACAACAATCTGAGTGTGAGGCATCTTGTATGTTCGCAAAATGTATTTTGGCTTAAAAAAGCGTATGGTGACCTTAAAGTTATTTAACATAAATCACGGAGCCCTTAGGCATCGTCTGCAACTCTGAAATGCTTAACGGACTGAGATACATACAGAGAGGTAACGCTAGATGGCATCGTGTAAGTATGCATTTATGACTGACATATACATTGTCATTCATTACCATTAGAAACTTCTTTCCAGCAATCTGATCCATTCCTATCACAAATCTGCTATTCTTCGCAACCTACCTTTCTACCATATCTCAGAGACCGTTTTGGCTAAATCCAACTTCATCGGACTAAAATCCGAAGTATGCTTCGAAGCTATTCCTACTTCGCACTTCATCCACCCAATCTGGGTAATGCGATCATTTGCCGGATAATCCGAGAATCAGATTTGGACATTAGCTGTAACTTCACAAAAAGCTTCCTATCCTAACTCATTATTTCACTGTGTTACCATATCGTTTCGACTTGGGTCCGGTATCATTCCCACTTGTTGCTCCACATTTCGTGCCCGCTGGGCACTTTCTAGTCTTGCTGTGTGGCACGTTACTCGCTATATGTCTTTACGTAAGCATACGGAAACTATGAAATAGGCGTACGACGCACGCTCTCCTAAAAGTGTACCTACGATTCTCACGTGAATACACGGAAGAAACGATAGTGACATTCAAACACGATTCTAAATTTTATAATTTCGTTGAAACAGATTTATTTACGACATACGACAATTTGGAACAAAAAAGTGTCGTCTTGAAAGTGCATCACTGCCTTTGTTATCAGAACTGCAGTAACTTAAATGTGAACTATTCATAGAAATGTGTGCGTGGCTATTTTGTAAACCAGTCGTTGATCATAAAAGATAATTAAATTTGTCAAAATTGAGGGTTCGAATGGGTAAACAGAAACGGTACAGCCAGAACTGTTTCTTAAAATTCGGAGCACTATTGAAGGGGGCTAACAATCGGGGTTCATTTACCCTGTAAAATGTTAACTTGTTGCAATCCCCTTGAACTACTTCTTGAATGGCACCATTATAGAAATAAATGTTAAAAAATGTACAATTACATTATCATCAATTGATTACAAAAGTTACACGATATCAAGTACTTTACTATGAACCTAGGAAAACAAAAGTTTAAGTATGACGTCAAAACACAAAATGTAACGAAGAATACGTGCATTTGTTCAACTCAGTTGTAATTTTCAAAGCAAAAATGATGCGAGAAAAGGACACTAGAAGAGGTTATGGAAACAGCACAAATTATTCACGAATCAACAAGAACTAATTAACATAACAACACAATCATAATAATCGTAATATATTTCAATAAATAGAAGAAATTCCAATTTACGAACATGAGGGCAAAAAATATTAAATTACTGGATTGAATTGCCCACTGCACAAGAACAGCTGCAATAAAAGAACATGATAATTCGAAGAAAAATCTATGTTATTTAAAAGTCTACAACCTCAACAAATAGTCAAGGTAAATGTTTTCAAATCCCCTGGTGGAACAAGAGAAAACTGAAGCAATACAATACCTTTAGATGATGTGATGTAATGGGTCAACTGCGTTACGGTCACAGACAGCTCCTGCCAGACCCCGCGTAGTGTTTCGGGAGCGCCGACCAGACGACAGCTATCAACAGTCACAGCACTGGAAAGTCCTTCGGATATTTTGCCTTATTAACTTCCCTTCACCTCACAGACGAGCTTTTCCCCACCAGACTCCCCCGATCATTCCCCACTTCTCAACCATCAACTCAAGTGATGTATCGAAAGAAACTGCAATCGACATTACAGACGATTCACTATCGACTACAACCGAAAGATCGATGTCCACTACATATGGAATCATGGAGAAGTTAGATCTTTATTTTCTTTGGTGTGTTTTAACAGGTTGTCCACCCTAACCAATTTAAGTATCACAAATGTCAAACGCAGTAATCGCAACTGTCAGTATTATTGCAACCACTACAGCGGCAAGCGGCAAGGGTGTCGGCGGTCTAATCTCTAGTCTCGTGCCTTGTGACGTTTTTTTGACAGAGGTGTTAAGTGTCATGCTCCGGAAGGACAATTGAGATACAATAATTTGGTTATGTGGTGCTGTACATATTATGTTTCTAAGACTATATCGTGACTTACGATTAATCTCGAACAAGTTTTCTGCCGTTTTTGTTAAATTTTCTCCAATAAATTACCATAATTTTTCTTGATCTCTTCTCATAATTCCTTTAGCACCATATAATTTAAGGCTATATTAATAATTGCTGTCTTGCACTATGTTTGGTCCAGAAGACGACGAAGACTTTACTCCTGCAGTAAAGTAAGTAATCATTCGATTTTTTTAAAAATATTGGTATTCTCTCTTTATTTAATGTGTCAATTTTATGTCACAGTTCAAAACTAGCATCTCTGTTTGGTCAACCAATGGAAGAAGGAAATGCATCTTTAACTTATACTGCACCGAAACAACCCAAAAAAACACGTCCAGAAACTGCATCGCCAGCCAGTGGTTCTCCTGGGAAGTTAGGGATTATTGTTGTTCAAGCAGTCCAGACCTACAGACTGTAAATTCAATAAGATATTTTCTAATTTCTCTCTTTTCATCTTCAGTGTATATTTTAAAGTATTCAATTTATTTTTCAGAGAAGGGGGCAGTTATAATAATCAAGGCAAGCTTGGTGCTGCCCTTCTTGGCAATACTTCTTTAAAATTGTACCAATTATTGCTTTACAAAAATAAACAACAACATGTGACGAGTACAAAGATATCTGACAAGTTTCAGTTTATTGTAAGTTGTAATGAAAAATGTTCTTTAAAAAATCTGAAAAAAGTGTAATTTTTGCCACATTTTTTTTCTGTATGTACAGGTCCAAGATCAGAATTATGCTTCCTTTTATGATGACAGAGGGCAAAATTGGTCTATAATGTTTGAATCGGAGAAGAATGCTGTGGACTTTGCTAGAGAAGTGAGTAGGTCCTTGCCATTTACATCAATTTTTATTTCGTGAAATGTTTGTATATCATTTTGTCAATGTTCCACTACACTTAGTTGTAAGCTAAGCAAAAAAGTCATGTTGAAAGAGTCCTGAAATTTTTTTTTTCTTTTCTTTTTCTTTTTTTCCCCCTTTTCTCTTTACATACTAAAATGTATATTCCTTCTACCATTCTCAAGATTTGTATTTTCCCTTGTAATAAAATTTTGGCGGATCTTTACCTGTGGGGGATACCAAATTTCATTCTTCATATGTCACTATAGGTTTGCCATTATAACAAATGTACATATTCATGGTTCGCTCTATCAACCTTCCTAATCTAAATATGTATTTCTTCTATCCATTACTATGTAAAACTGTAATTTATATCAATGTTCCTTACACCACAAGTAAGAATACTCTTTTCTACCAATGAAAATATTTCATTTCATTTTAAAATTTCAACATTTGATTTTGCTGTTAAAATCTTTATTTCATTGCAAATTCATTGTACATCAACAGATCACTCTGTTTAAGTCAACTTGACAGTGAAGCAGTTCAAACTGAATGATATGTGTAATTCAGTAAATGTACAATATTTAGAAATTTCATAAAAAACTGTGGCTGTTACTAGTAATAGATAAAATAATGAAAGACCTTCAAAATTAAACACATTTTGTTAATTCTTGAGGCCTCAGAAGCTAAACTTTTAATCTCTGCTGTCATAATAATTATTAATGTAGGATCGTAGTAGAAATAATTTTTAATTCATGAAGGATTGTATGACACAGAAGGTCTTGGGTAGGCAATAAGGAAGGGCAGTGAGGGTGGGCAGTTGCTGTTTATTTCTATGATTATTATTCATGAATGTCATAGTTAAAGGTTGTATTGTAACTTTTATTTCAAACAATTTCTTTCTTTTGTCTTGAAAAAAGAGTGTTATAATGAAGTCGATGCAACAAGCGGTTATAAAACCATTAGATCACTACTGGTATCTTATAGCACCCTGATTATTGCACTAAACAGACATTATATCATCATAGAGAAATTATTTTAATACTGTTGTAGATTTAGTAGGGCCTTAAAATATTGATACTGTTAAAAATGGGCATGACAAAAAGTGTCAGATCTTTTATACTTATAATAAAAATAGTTATTTTATTTTCCTAGGGGATTTTCCTCTCTTTTCTTTTAACATTTGTGTATATTCTTATTTCAGGTAGGGCTAGCTCGAGCGTGTGTGCCAAGTGAGAAAGGGGACCAACCCTTTTACGTGCAAGACTTGAAAGTAGGGAAAGGATCAGGAGCAGAGATTGGGGACTTGTTAGAAATTCGCTACACAACATTGCCATTTGTTAATGGTAAACTAGAAAAAGTAAGAGAAATAAATTTATTGGTATTGGATATTAATGATTTATGGCAGATATGATGCATCGAGCTTATAACATGTTTTCTGAGAGTTAAATTCAAGTAAATTTTAGTGGTGTTTTGTAATTTTTGAAGTGTTGTTTATGAACATTGTTGATCAGGTGTATTTATTATATTATCAGAATAAGTTTTGTATTTAATAAGAAACTTGTAAAGAATTCATTCATTTTTGTAAAATGACAGTTAATAATTGTGATGTATAACAAATGGATTAGTAAATTAAGTTTGTTTTTAGTATTAAAAACTATATGTAGTTCAGAATTCTGAGATAATGTTTGATTGTGCATGAAAAGAAATAGAATGTACTAAATTTATTAAAACCAAATGTAATATATTTTAATTTAATATCGTAATATTATCATTACTTTTTGCGAGGCTTGTATCCTATTAGTTATTGTGCTATAATCACTTTGTGGTGGATTACGATTCCTTTTTTTCTTTCTATTTACTAGGCCATAGAAAGCAATATTGATGCAGAAAAACCCCAACGAGTGAATATTCGCAAAGGAGTTTGGGAAGAAGCATTGTTAGGAGCCACCAAGGGTTGCAAGAAGTTAATTGTGTTGGCTCCTGTTCTGTTTGTAAGACATGGTTTATTTCTATTCAATGCTTTCTTTTGTGGTAGATGCTCTTCAAAGTTAAGTTTTTGCTGCTTAGGGACCCTGGACACCACTTGCTGATGTTAACCACAGACTCGTTGTTGAAGTGGAAGTGGGTAGAATTAAGACAAGGAAGCAGTCCCGAGAAAGTACTCCTATTGAAATCTTAAATCGCCCAGATAGTTCTGAAAGCAATGTGGATTCAAGGTAATTGGCTTCTAATAATTTTAATTTTTAGAGTAATAAATGCAAGTTAATATTTCAAACAGACATTTTTGTTATAGTACTGATGAGACAAGCATCAAAGCACGCGGAGCTTCCATTTCAGAAGCATTAACAAACAGTCCTAAAACTTACAAAGCTAGCATCATCTCTCGCATGGCTCGAATGGGACAAGCAACTCTGCCTCTGAAGGGAGCAGTGATGTGTAATCCAAGTGACTCTGAAGAAACAGAGGTGAAATTTACATTTTAACGTAATCCATTAATGATCAGGGTGTTTGATCGAGGATGCACATATCTGCTGTATTTGTGTGTATTGAATTTCTACATTTGAGAATATCTTTGTATGATGAATTAATATTTTCTTTTTTCTTCTTTTAAAAGAGCATTCACCATGTATGCAAGGAAGTTTCTAGAAAGTTACAAAAGTGCTTTTCATCACTTAACACCTCACAATAAATTCATAAATAATAATTTTTAGGTTAAGTGATGTTTTTCTTGGATTTTGACTTGCAATTAATGCCAAAAGACAATAATACGATTATTATTTTTATGATTGTCATTACCGATATTTATTAATAATAATTATACATTTTTGCAATTATTGTGGAAACTTTCCTGCCCTCAAATAAGGATGCTGGACATTTGGATCTATTACGGAATGATGTCTTCCTTCATCAGGAATAGACTGTTCAGTTCTTGAGTTTGATATGACTACTTTTTTATTGATACATGTCAGTATAAAGTGTACAGACAACTAAATTTATATAATGGTGTTATAATTTTGAGATACCTTAGGTTACTTTTGTTTCGATTGTATTTTCTGATCTTAGACTTGGTTATATATCATGAATTTTATTTTTACCATTACAAACCATGTTAAAAGTAAAGAAATAACAAACACTATAGTTTTAGAAATGTATTGTAGCCTTACTGTAACTGTCATTACGGGGCAGCTAAATGATCTTGATCTTGCAGAGAGTTACATTATATCGATGTGCAAGTAGATCTACCCAACGTAGTTCCTGCCACAGATATGGAAGATAGTCCAAAAAATAAAATAATTTCTGCTGAGCTCAAAGATGTGCTGGAAATATTAGAGGTACTATGAGGTTCTTGTGTTATTTAAAATCCATCACAAAAGTTTATAGAGAATGCATTTCAAAAACAACAATGGAGGTGAACGTTGATGAAAAACTTAAAATATAAATAAAGAAGAGAATTGGGATGTGACCAAGTGAAGTAAAACTGTAGAAAATAGTGTTTAATTCTATTAATGGGCATGTGAGGAATTTCTGTGAATAACAATATAAATAATAAATAGAGAACTAGGGTGGATATCAATGAATAAACACTGTAATATGTGAACCAGAACAGCCAATCTGAAGGAAAATGGATACTAGATAATTGAAGGGGAATCAGCAGAACTAGCTAGAAGTAATAGATTTGGGATGCTATTTGTCAAGAAGACGACAAGTAATAGGTGGCATTGTGACTTGCGGAACAAAATGAGCTGTCTGGTGAACAGTTTGGTTGTGGTGGAGGACACATGTAGTTAGTGTTGCCTGGGATTATTTTTTGGAAGTTTGGTAATTGAATTGTAAAAAGGGGATTAAGGAATGAAAAGCAAGTTCAAGATTATTATTAATCGAGTGAGAGGTTTTTGAAAGAATGGATACTTCAGAATTGTTATTTAAATTGCGGTCATAAAATAGAAACCTGATGAGTTCCAGCAGCGAGATGGCATAGATCTGTGAATAGTAAGAAACGAGTGACACAAGTCATCAGACATGCCTGCTGAGAAAACGCTAAGGGAAGTTCATAACTATTACAATTACGTTCTAGATAGGAAGATCAAACAACGTTTCATTTCTATCTAGGCTTAAGAATTGCTGTTGAGGAAGAACACAAAAGGGAACATGGTCATGAATTTGATAATGAGAGAATGCATGTGTTTGTAAATGTAGTGTTAATGTGATAAGTTGGATTGTCATAAAAATTAATGTTTTTGTCTTTCTGTATCTGTAGCGACTACAGCGAACTGGGAAGGTTGTCAGGAAATTGAAGAAGCGAAATTATAATGATTTAGGAAAAATGAACATGTTTCTCTTTATTTCAGTAGTTCAATCCAATGAGTAAATGAGATAATTCCTGCATAAATCATTTGTATTTGAAATCCGATATTGGCAAGGCTATTGACCCATAAATATAAATTTTCTATGACAATCAATGATTCAATTTCTGAACTAATAAAAGTAATTAATAGATTTAAATACTGCGCAAACCAGAACAGGCAAACGTTAGATAGTGGAAATGTTAAATAAATTATAATTATTAATTTACACCAGAGAGGAATTTGAGTGGATTGCAGTACCTACATCATTATATAACATCTTAATATATTATTAAAATACTTATATAAAATAAAATATATATCAGTCCAGTCTGTCTCTGTCTGTCTGTCTGTCTGTCTGTCTGTCTGTGTCCGTCGGTCTGTTGATTTGAAGGAACTTGAACCCCTCAGAGTTTGAAAGGAATAATTTGAATTTGGGGTTACGTTACATTAAGCCTCAATTATGTTTTCTCAAATATGGCTCTAAATCCGTTTAACGTTCATTCCCTTATAGCATAACTGACACTTAAAAGAAAAGCGCAGGTCTCATTTTTGTTGAAATCCTTGATTTTTTGAAAATAACAAAAGTTGAAAGTGTTTGTCAGAGTTTTGTACACTACAGTATTGAGGATAAACCTTTCTTTAGAAAAATCTGTTGTTCAAATAGAAATCTTGAAATAAGTTCAAATTTAATTTTAAAAAAATATGAGTATTTTTAGCATAATTTTGAAATATAACCGATTTTTAAAGTGTTTTTTCTCAGAGCTCCAAATTTTCCCTTCAAATTTTCTTCTTATATGTAGCAAAGAACAATAATAAAAATTGGCAGTGGTCCGGTTTTTGGTAAAATTTTGGGAAAATAGTAATGTGAATGAGAATATTCAAAATATTTCAATTGATCAAGCTGAAATCTGGTGTGTGATTTCACTGGTGTAATAGTTAGAGAACAGGACTGTTAATACAAAATTCAGAACCCTGTCAAAGCGTTGGATTTTGAAAATCCCTTCAGAAAGTAAAGTCAGTTATCTCGTGTCAGAGATTTTGTGGCTTGGAAAAGAACAATCAGCCTCAGTGTCTCCTGAGTGAAATTTTAAATAGTTTCATTTAGTATTCACTTTTGTCATGCAAACATTAACTACTAGATGCTATTGGAGTGAGTCCTGCTCTCTGTTATGTCATGATTACTATTGTGAATTGGAGGCAACCAAATTGTGGTTGATAGTGAAATCATGAGATATCTGGTAGAAAAACAGTATTGGCACTGAGAGAAATCTTTCTACTATAAATTGTGTTGAAAATTTTCATTTGCATTTTCCAAGTGTTTCTAAAACATTGAATTTGTGCTTCCTTTATAACTTGTATTTGTAATTTTCAACTTGATTAGAAGTGGATCACTGTAATGTTATATTATTACTTATTTTTGCAGGAAGAGTCTGGTGGAACTGCACCAAATGCGTCAGTGCCTGTCAAATCAAATCTGAAGTCTCGAAATTTGTTAAATAAACGTACAATGGCCTCTACTCAAGAGGCAAGTCCTGTTCCACCAGGAAATGTAAACACATCCACAAGCAGTTCAGGTGTGATTCCACAACATGTGTCTGTTTATCAACCGGCTACTCTTGGATGGCATCCTCAAAATCAACATCAACAGTATCTTGTAAGCTTATTTGACTAATTTTGCCCAATTAGTCCTTTTTTATTGATATGTTATAGGTTGTTATTGCCTTTGATATGGAGCTTAATATACACTGCGTAACTTACCTGGATCAAGAGGTTTGTGGTTATGAGAGAAATATGAAAACAGTTGAATGATGCTACAAGTTCTCTTATGGAGGGAATTTAAAAAGGAATTGTGGGGGGGAAATTTGAAAAGACAAATCAAGTCTAGTCAACATCTTGTTAATGAGTAAATAAGTAAATCTCAATCATTGAAATTAGGTAAAAAATAAAATGGTGTATGTACCATTGGTATTAATTGGTTCGAATGGTCTAGAGTGATGAAAAGCACTCAGGACAAAAGCCCTGTTCACTTTCATGTCCCCCGTCATCTCATCTTTTCTCCTCACCAAAAGCAATCATCCAAATTTGTTTTGTCTCTTGCTTATAATTAGGTCTAGGATTTTGCATCTTTTCTCTGTTCTTCAAAAAATCTAATTGGGATTAAGTTTTCACAATGCTCTGTGGCTTTTGGGAAGTATTTGTTATGTCATTTTTTATCATTTTGAGATTGAGAAGACACATTTCGGCATTGGGGGAGGGGATTTGATCTTATTATTACTTTCTCGCAACTGCTTATGCAGTCTACAGAGAGTATTGTAATACTGACAAAAAAAGGTGAATTTTGAAAAGGTGAAATTTGCCAAGCACTGGCAATAAAAAAGTGGATAAATCTTGTCCCTTTATATTGTAAATTACTATCTCTAATAGAAAAATTAGAACATCGTTGCTTCAAAGTACATCTCTTAAGACAAGACAGTATTCAGAGACTATACTGGTTCAGAATGGAAAAATATATATATCATAGAGCAATTAATATTGATATAAACCATAAATGGATGGATCTTAAAAATCATTAAAGCAGCTCTAGACATTTTAGGGAGAAGGCATAAACGGACAAATACCAGAGGCCTAAATATTTGAAATAAAGAAATACAACAAATAATAAAGGGAAAAGGAAGTGTATCTGAAATGTTTACAAACTAAATCACAAAATGTCAAACAAAATTATTAATACAATTGTGCTAAAAAAGAATATTGAAATAAACCATAAAATGTACATCAATCATTCCAATCCATAAAATGGGAGATTGTTCAAATCTGAGTAAATATAGAGGGATTTGCTAAACACAGCATATAAACTATATGCTACAATGATCACACGCTGTCAAAATGTGATAAGTGAAGTTAAAACGAGAGAAGAGCAATCAGGCTTCAGAAAAGGGAGCTCTTCCTCAGACTGTGTTTATATTCTGCAGCAAATTTTCAAAAAAAAAGAAAGAAGAGAATTAAATCTCCCTACATTCATCCTCTTCATGTATTACAAAAAAGCTTTTGATTCCATTTACAGAGAAAAGCTATGAAATGAAAAGTATATCAAAGGCTATCCTAGCAGCAAACAAGGTTGTCCATTATCATCACCAATAAGTATAGGTAATATTCCCTTCAAGACTATGCTTTTTGCAGATGATCAACTACTGGTTGCAGAATCTGAAAGTAACTTACAAATAGAGGCTTACAAATTACAAAAAGTAATTTGATATATCATTTTAAGATATATTACCAAATCTAAAACCATGGCTTTTGTAGGTCCAGAATACACCAGTTGCAAAATAGTTGTAAATAATAACAGTTTAGAACAAGTTTGCACTTTTCATTAATTAGGTTGCAGTGTGTCATATCTAATAGAAAGCGATCTTGATGTCAAATTGAGTAGATTCCAGAGAATGTGTGGAACAATAAAGAAAAACATTAATAAATAAAACCCTAAGATATGTTCAGTTAAAATTTTATAAAACGCTCTCCGTTCCAATACTTAACTATTGATGCAAAAATTGGATGTTTAATAGATCATCAAAAAGAAAAGTTCAAACTAGTGAAATTAAGTTTTTTGTGAAGTGTTGCTAACTATACTTTATTAGATCATAAGAAAAATGTGGATATATGGGAAGAACTAATTATTTTAACCCCTTAGAAAGAGTCAATGGATTGTGTCATAGTAGTTTGTCTGAATTTGCTAGTTAGCTAATGGTGTTCCCCATGCTTGGGCCTAGTTAATTCCCATGCTTGACGTAAGATATGAGGCAATCATGACTTATTCCTTTCACCACAACTAGCAAACTTTGCCTGTGGGAGCTTTTCTTTGCCATACAACTGAGATGATTTTTAAGGAAAGCTACAATTCTATTTTTGAGCTGACTGGGAATGAACCTGGAATCACACTTAAGGAAGCTAGTATGCTGCCAATGAGCCGCCCTAGGATTTAAGGTTTTATAATAATGCAAAGTGGTACCCTACATATACTTCGGTCATCTCTTGAAAAACTTGCTTCACTAAATGAAATCCAGGAGATTAAAAACTAAAGTACATATATTTATGTAATTTTAGAAAATTAAAAACTTTTAATGATATTGGCTCATCTGAATTCAATGTTTCCTGTCCCATCTTAATCCTTCTGCTTGTGTCTTGAATTTGAGCGCTTAGGTTTCTGATGCCAGATTCTTACTCTCAACCCTCGCACTGAATTTCCATCTGAAGCTCAATATTAATTTTTTGCATCGTTACATAACTTTTTCAATTCTACTTTTATACTTTGTTTATAATACAAGAAAGTTGAAAGAGGGAGAGAGAGAGCAGAATGTAAAATCATTTCAATTTATTCTTTGCTTTTCATGCTTTCTCAGCATATTATTATTATTATTATTATTATTATTATTATTATTATTATTATTAAGATCAGTTTGGTGTTTGTGTGCTGTATGTATTGAAAATAATTTATTATTGCAGATAAATGGAGTTCCATTTAATTTTGCTGCGCATCCTGAAGGTCAGTTGTTCGCTTCACAACATCAAGTTGTTCCAGTGCCTACAGTTGTCCCAACACCTTCTGGCACTCCCTCTTCTGAGTCTCAGTTGTCCATGTTCTTTTCTGAAAGTAGAACTCACAGTGCAGAAATTCGAATGGGACTAACTAAAGTTTCTGATAAAGTTGATCAGATAATAGGAAAGGTAAAATTTTAAGATTATACTTTATTTCATAAAATTTATTACATTTATAAATTTGTGTTTGAAACAGTAATACATTGCAAGAATGAGAACCATTACAGTACATAAAAAAAATATTATAAATAAGGTTTTTGAACTGTTCCAAGAATGAACTGCCCCAGAAGGAAACCAAATCTCTTAGTATACGCCCAGTTGCTTTAACCACTTGAACTTCCAAGGCAGTCAACTCTTCGAACAGCTGTAAGGAGATAAGTGCCCTGATGGATATCCTATTCATTTCACCAACTGGTCACATTTGGAAGTTTCTCAATTATGTGGAAATATGTTTCCTATTTCGCATTTATGAACTAACACTGCCACCCCATATCTTCTAAGCTTGATGCAATTGTTATAAATTATGTTTTTTTACTGTTCAAAGAATGGTCTGTCCCAGATGGGAATCGAACCCAATTCTCACAGTACATTCCCAGTTGCTGTAACCACATGAGCTACCAAGGCAGTCAACTTTTCAAACAGCCTTAAGGAGATAGAGCCATGACAGATATTCTATACATTTCATCTTCTGGTCACAGTTGGAAATTAAACATATATTTTGGTTCTTTATTATGATCTTTATCGCAATCACTATTATTATTATTATTGTTAGTATTTTGTTGTTGTAATTATTATTTTTAGTGCAAAATTGCATTGGCAAATAAGAATTAAGAATTGAATGTTTTAACTTTGTCATAATCCCTTATTTCATTACACGCGCATAAAAACAAGAAATGATGGATGGGAATTAATACATTAAGCCTGTTAAAAACAAACATACTTGTTAGGTATCAGAACTAGCACATCTGTTTCTTCAAGGCTTGTCAGAATGGAAAAATTAATGTCTTGATAAAAAATGTATTTTAACTTGTAAAATATGTTAGTGCTTTGCTTATTTTCAAACATTTGCGTGCTCTTTTTCACAAAGTATTTTCATGGACTCTTTAAACTATGATTATCAATGAACCTAAGAGTTTTTTGTTTTTGATTTAAATGCCAAATTAAGCAAAAAATGTAATTGACATCTCAATAAAAGTTCATTTTGTCTTTTTTCTTGTCAGTGTCAAAAAAATATTTTCATGATATGAACTCATGTTGTATAAAGTGATTGTAGTTTGAATGTCATTTATAATGAAATTGTAAATACAGCACAAAACATAATACATATTTTAAATGCATTTTCAAGTAAGCTTCCGTTTATCAAATGATTTGCCTGTGCTCCAATATCAAATTTTTCTTAAAGCAGAATGTATATAAACCATGATTTACCATTTGCAGCTAGACACTCTTCAACAACCTCCAGTGGTTGGAGTGCTTGATCCAAAAACTTTACTTGCTAGCATTCAAAAATTAGTGCTTGAAAATGAACAGTTGCACACAGAATTGGCCGATAAACGTCTGAAGATGGAACAACAAAATGAAAAGATTTATCAGTTGCTACAACAAAAGTAAGTTTCGCTTTGTAAAATTTTAAGAGATTCAGTATTCATCATTTCACCTTATTTACAAGTATGTAAAAGCTATAATAAAAGCAATCTTTTAAAAACAAACTTTGAGCCAGAGAAAAATCATCTACTGATTATATTAATTATTTTACCATGAGAGTAATAGTTGTTAGGAGCAAATCATTAGGTAAAAATTTTAAGCATTTCCATCCTTACCTCCCTCCTCTCTCCGTTGTTGTTTCCGAGTACATTTTTGATTTCTGAAATCGTCATTTCTCATTTCGTTATTCGTTATTTTTTACAGATTTCTAGAACAAAATAATTCTTCAAATATCTCAGACTCACGACAAGATGCATCTTTGCAAGCAATAGTTCTGGAACTGCAGCAAGAGAAAACAAAGTTATCCACAGAGCTCAGTGAAGCTGCAGGCAAAATTAATACATTACAAGTAAGATGTTCATACTTTTTGTTTAACTTCTTTACATATTGTAATATAAGAATTAAATGTTTTGATATAGGTATGGATCAGCTCTTTGAATAGGTTTGAGTTAAAAAGTTCCAATGATGTTTTGTTGTACATTTACAAGACACACAAAATGTCAACCATTGGGTTATTTTATATCAAATGGTCTAGGGGCTCCATGAGTGTACATGATTCACTTTGATATAATTGTAAGTGGCATGCATCATATGTTTCAAAGTTACTTGTACAGATTTATAGCTTTACAAGTGAAATATTGAAATACAGTTGTTTATTTGACTACATACCATATTAATACTGGTTGCGAGAGCTCAACAGTAATCCATTTACCTCTGCAGCAACTCATTGTATAGGAGTTCCTAAAGTTGGAGTTCTGACAGTGGCAAATTTTTGACACTAGAAAGTTGAATTAAATTCAGCCTCTGTCTGGAGGAGCATTATAACAGCTGATTGCTCTGCTCCACAGAGTCAATACCAGGTGATTGCCTGAACTTTACCTTAGCAAATGGCTCGCAGATTGTGCAATATTTCCTTCCTCATTTTTTCCCCATTCACACATTTATACTAATTTACACTATGAACTACCACACCTGTCACTACCCAAATATTTGTGAGACTAGTCAGAGTTTTAGATATTGTCCTGGCAGGGGGAATGCCTCACAAGAGGAGATACCAATTTCCAGCATACACTCTGTATTTTCAAAAATTGTTAAAAGTTAATATTCCAAAACTATAAAATGAAAGATAAAGAATTTTTATCTTCAATAAAATTTGTTCTAAAATATCAGATCTTTTAAAAAGGTCATGTACAATTTTTTTGGTAAGATACTGGTAGTTTTCACATAATTTCTGCTTGAAAGTAATGCTGTTTATAAAATATCATTTTCTCAAAAACCACCCAAAAGTTTTTCTCTAATTTTTTTTCCACAGATAGATCATGGGATGCTTAAAAGAATGGGCCAGGTCTTAGTTTTGTTAAACTATGGATTATCGAAATTGCAAAAAAATGTAGCTCCACTACTTTAACTGTTTGATATTATCTGAATGTGATTAAATTAAATTAAATTATCAAGAATGTTCATATATCAGTATGTGCTCTCAGGTATTTTGAATATCACATAAGGTATTGAGATATGGTTTTCACCAGAGTTAATAATTAACTTTGCTTGCTCAACTTTCTGCTATTATTAATGTAATGAGATTGTAGGAAACAATACGGATCAAGGGTAGAACATTTTTGTTACTAAGATATTGATAGTTTTTGCATACTAAATAAAACTTCTGCATTTTCTGTTGACATGAATAAAGTGGGTGAAAAGGTATTCCAGAGATTTAAGTTATGTTAATATTGCATTAGAACTTTTTTATGAAAATGGCTTACAAAAACTAATCCATGTCAGATGAGGCAAGGTTGTGTGGTCTGATTATTGATTCTGGGCCAAAATTTGCAGAATCCTTGGAGGGAAAAATATTGTTTTTAATGTCTCGTATGACTGGCATTACCTACCTCAAAATTTGTTTACTCACATGAAGTTGAAATATTTCAATACATTGTTTCTAATTTAAACAAGTTTGGAAATTTATTATCTAAAGTTGTATTGATTGTTTTATTTTGCAGATTCAGGCGAGTAATTTTGAACGAGTCAGTATTGAGCTTCGAGAGGAAGTAAAAAACTTGACTTCTCGTCTTCAAGTAGCTTATGTTGAACTGGATCGTAGCAGACAGGATCTGATAGGTACCATCCAACTAACCATATTAATTGATAATATACATGTCTGTTTTTAAGGAATCTAACACAATTTCTTTTAGCACAAGAAAGCTTGATGAAAAGTTTGAAAGAGAAGACGGATGCATCTGTAAATTTACACGATACTCAAGATAGTGTAATTAATGACCTTGAAATAAAAGTAAGAGACTTGCAGGGAGTTAAAGTGTGTCTAGAAACTGCTCTTTTAGAATCAAATCAACAACTGGATGTTGCTAGAAAGAAATTGTCTGAAGAAGTTTTATCAATGCAAAACCTTCATAAGGTAAGTCATTACTTGAAAATTACTAAATTTTCCTTGATTTTATTTGAATAATTGGTTCTTTTTTATTAATAACAGAATTTTTTTTTACCATAAGGGTTTCTTCTTGTAATTAGTGAACGAGTGCAAGATGATAATAAGAGAATACCCATTGCAGATGTGTTATATGTATTATAACTCTGTTGCATTTCCTGTATATTTATCAGGAGGAATTTAAATCTGAGTTGCATGTACATGCCTTATATGTAGAAATTTTTACTTTTGATGGATGCTTTTTCCTTGTTTGACTTTGCTCCATTCTTCCCGTTGACTCTACCAAAGGTTGCCGTTGCTGATCACCAATGCAGGCCCATGAGTGACTCACATTTCTCAACTTTTTAGATTATTTTCATATATCCCTGAGTTTTCTCACTTTCTCTCACAAAACTCAGTGTTTTACAAAAATTGAATGAGTAATTTATTTTTTTATAAATCTTGTAAGTATACTAATTCTTTGAAAAATAAGATGCAATTGGCCTGCTCCATCGACAAATATTTTGGGAAGTGGCAGGTGGTGGTTCATCAGAGAATGGTACCATTCTCTTCAAAGCAAGCACGGACAGACAAATTGAGAAACTTCTAAAAACAAATGACATTGCTGGCCTTCGGGTTAAGGTGTCCATTCACAATAATCTGAATTTGATCAGAGGTGTAAATAATGAGGAAGGGCATCACTGCAAAAAATGAAGAGGAAATAAAATGATTCTTCCAAATTCAAGGTGTTGTAGACATTTACAGGATCAGGCAAAAAGAAAATGGGGAGAAAAAAATCCCTACTTTGCTTTGATCCTTACATTTGACCACCCTTCGCTTTCGTAAAGCTCTTCTTGCAGCTTTTACAACCTTTGGGTGCCCCAGTACTTGCGCTGTCACAAATGCCAGAATTTCGACCATATCATTCAGCGCTACTTGACGGTGAAACCTATATATGGTAAATGTGGCGAAATTTCACCCAAAGACACTCAGCTCCTCACCATCCCATTGCCTTAACTGCAAGGGTGATCATGCTGCAACCTGGAACCAGTGCCCTTATACATCAAGGAGAGGGAAATCCAAATAATCAGGGTGACTGATGAGGTTTTGTTTCTGGAAGTAAGGAAGAGATACCAGTGAAAGCACAGTCTGTATGTCACGAACCTTTACTAGTGTTCTAAATAAGCCCAAGAAGGCAATGATGAACCAAATAGAAGGCATCCAAACATCTTTCAAAGCCGAGTGCCCAATGCCACCCTTACACTTTCCAACAGAATTATTAACAGCTAAAATTATAGTAGCAACAAATATAAATATATATAGCAAATTAAAGGTCGATTTCAGATTGTGTTCAGGTAGTTTGTGTTTATGTCAATTCATTAGTAGAGAGTGAATTGATAAGCACCATAAAATGGAAAATAGACAGGCAAAAACACGCTACAAATTCTCAAAAATAGGCATGTAAATAGTCAGGAAAGGTACATATGTATAAGTATAAATAAATCACTTGAAATTTTTTGCTAATTTTACATTTTATTATAGTAACAAATAACCACAAAGGGTGGGAACCAAATGATTACCATATTTCATAGAAGATAGTTTCATGGGTTCAAAATTAGATTCTCAATTTTGCCTTCCATTATCGAACTCACTTTGACGATCATGGCCCAAATGGGATTACGTTGCAGTACTTTTTACTTACCCATATACGTACGAATATGCGAAGTAATATACATACTATAGGGAAAGTTATGTAGTCCTGCGGAAAATCGATTTCCTCGGAATTACAAGTTTTGGGGTCCCCTGAAACCGAAAAATTGTTGTTTTTTTTTCAAAACTTTCGTCCGTCTCAAGTCTGTGAATACTACTAGCACCTAAACCATGCGTAGGATTTTTTCCATATTGAAGAAACTCGTGTCGATCTGGCTCAAGTCAAATCTTTGAGATTTTGAAAAACATCCTTTAAAATTTAGGTGTCCTTTAAAATAGGGTTTTCAGGATTGATTGAATTTTCAAAAATCTGAAAGTTTGAATTATTTCTGTCATCTTCGTACAATTACAAAATTGAAGACAGATTTTTCTTTCAAATGAAATTTGTTGTTCATAATCAGATCTTTCAATTCTTACTATAGGGTCATGTTCAGTTTTTGAAAATTTTTGAAGTTTGCAAGCAATATGTGCAATTAAAAAACATACATAAACAAGAATTTTTGAATAACGGCCCAAATTTTTTCTTGAAATTTTTGGTAGAGATTGTGTTAAATGTATTTTTTTTATTTGTGTCATAATGCAATGCAGCTTGAAGCGACGTACCCCAGCGTGTCAAAATTGGTTGGTTGATGTAGCAGTGGATTTCTCAAAGAACCTCTTTGAAAACAGAAATTCTAGATGTTACCTTGAGAAACACTTTACCTGTGGATGTCATTGAAATTACTGTGGGTTCTTTCCTTCTTTCTTTCTTTCTTTCCTTCTTTCTTTCCTTCTTTCTTCCTTTCCTTCTTTCTTTCTTCCTTTCTTTCTTCCCTTCTTTCTTTCTTTCTTTCTTTCTTTCCTTCTTTCCTTCCTTCTTTCTTTCCTTCTTTCTTCCTTTCCTTCTTTCTTTCTTTCCTTCCTTCTTTCTTTCCTTCATTCCTTCATTCTTTCCTTCTTTCTTTCCTTTCTTTCTTTCCTTCTTTCTTTCCTTTCTTTCTTTCCTTCTTTCTTTCCTTCTTTCTTTCCTTTCTTT